ACCATTCTGGTATTCTATGGCTTTATCTCTCACATGCTCGTATGTGGAGCATCTCAACATGTTGCTGATTTCCAAATCATCCCACTAAGACACAACCATGCAACTTACATGGGCAACAAAATGCTCAAAACTTTAGCGAGCCCACTGCCATGAAGGAACAGCTTAAAAGAGAAAATACATGCTTCTAACCTCTGCAGAACCAAGCAGGGCACCAGATCATTCCTTCACCACACAGAAGGAGCACACTGATACAGCTCACAGCTCCACCCAGTCAAGGACGGAGGAGGACAGAGCTCTGACTCAACCCCAAACTCTCAGATGTGGCACTGAAGCACATAAACCAGAGACACCAGCCTCATTAAAACATTGCCCTGTTCCAGTCTGCAGAGTTTGAGTCCTGAGAGGCCTAAGCTCCAACTTAAAAGGAACACCTGCTTAAACATGATTAGTCATAGCTGCAACCCAGCATCTTCCTGGCTTTCTAACAGCAGCAGATATCGTCTATCTGGAAGCGGGGGCAACACAACCCACTCACTTTCCAAGTGACTGATAGGAAAGCCTTTGACCTGAAGCAATATAGAGTTACAGCAAGCCAATTCCAATCATTCACCGACAGCCACACCAACAGCTGCATGTGCTCTTCCTCCTGGCCTGAGAAGCAGTGTCCTTCCCTCCGCAGCAGACACAGGCCTCTCTTCCTGCCTTCTCTGTGGTGGGCAAAAATCCCTGCATATTTCACACAGCCTCTCCGTGCAGGGGACAACATCTCCAAGCATGATAATTCATGGCAGTGTTCAGACTTGGGTACAGGCTGTTCTCAGCACAGAGAACACCCAATTCAGAGAGGTGAGGAGGGGTGCTCTCCCCTAACTTGGGCTTAGGTTTTTTTGCTTTGCAGCCTGGCAAGTCCAGGTCATCTTCCTAAAACAGGGCTGGATGCATAACTCCAGCTCACAAAGCCAACTGAAAGCCATGTGGCAGATGGCGACATAAGCAGCAGATGGAGATGTAACATCCAAGCAAGACAGCAAGCCAACTGGTGTTCCTTTGCCTGAGCTCAAGGCTCACCTGCAATATGCTGAACGCCTTGAAGAGAGCAGGAACCGGGGAACAGCGACGAGCATCCACAAGAACAGTTAGACCCAAAGCCTGACATTCTGGTCTGCAAGGACAGAGAAAAAGAGATCATGTTTGTCACCAATGAAATTCAATCACACTATGGAAACAGAACCTGTAGTCATGACAGGGTGAAAAAACCCCATTACATTATGGCTCTGTATGGACAGGAAACTAACTGGTCACCTTATTCTAACCCAAACATACACCTGGAAACTACCACCTCACCTAGATTGCTTGGTTATCATCTTTGCTATTTCCACCTGATTTTCCCATTTCTTCAGTTCCTAGGATACATCTCACTGATGGCAAAAGTGCCAAGTAATCCGCACAGGAAAACCAGTCCTTCCTAATTGCATTCAGGGACAAGCTCGGCCTCAGCCACACTGCTTCACAGGGACAACCACGCCAGAGGAGACCCAACATTCAATTTGAAGGAGCCTAAGAAACAAAGCATGAGTAGCAGAAGCTTTCTCATGGATTAAGCCTTCTCTCTTTATCGATGGTTTAGGGGCTTAAAAAACAAAAGATATCACTAACAGGTTAGCTTTACCTCTTATTAATCATCTGAAAGTGAAACAAAGTCTCAGTAGAGTTTGAGAGGAGCTGGGAGGGAGAGTTTGTCATATGAAAGGAAGAGTAGCTGCAGCAAACTCCAGCCTGTACACTCCAAAAACAATTGCTAGTCAGACATCAAGGCAGATTTAATCAACCCGTGCAGATCCTTTCTCTCTCTCAGCTTGAAGACCCGGCCTTAAAACATCATGTCACAACACTATATCACAACGCTGCTGCATGACTGCCCCATCATAGTTCCCAAATCCCATTTTCTGAGCTAATGAAAGATAGCAAGAACGGCTTGGATTCACGGCAACACACAAAAACATTCAGTACATATCTAATTCTACCACAGCATGTGCACAAGGCACGTACAGAATAGCCAAAGTGCCTACTGAGTGAGCACCAGCCAGTTCACCCAAGCAGGAGATCCCCACCTGCACCATCTCAGGACTGTCTGGACCAGGTTCCTAGGCCAATAAAGCCAACCCGTTCTGCTCCCTGCCTCAGTTTCCACAGCCCTGAAAGGCCAAGCAGACATGGCAGCAATGTTCACCCTGTCAGCTCACGAGTGTCACAAACCTTGGGATGCTACGCAAGTACAGAAGAAGGCGTACGAGCTCAGTGGTGTTGCAGTGGGGGTTTAACCAGGCTGTGTTCCTCGTCGTTATTATGGCCACTGCACGTCCTGATTTATCTCTGGTACCTGTAAAAAGAGGAGGGAGAAAAAAGGCACACAAGGAAGTCAACAGAGCCTGGTTCCAAGTGCGTATGCCTCATATTCACCTTCTACCACCCCATCACCTTCCTGTGACGCTCCACAGAACTAGATACAGTGCAGATTGCAGTAGGCTATGAACACACTTCCAAAATGCCGCTCCAGAGTGAAGTAGCTGAGCTCTGGTTATGTTAAATTTGGACTGTTCTCTTCCACCCAAACACATTCTTCATTAACTATGGTTGAAGTTGGCTAACGATAACCTAACCTTGTGAGAAAGGCAAGAATCTCAAACTCAATATAATAATCTTACCTACACTTACGTTACAAGATTCACTCTGCTGTCAGTAAAGAGAACACAGACGGGTCTGCAGAACATGCGCTTTCCAACAAGACTCAGGCATACAAACTGCAGGCTGAGCCTAGCACGTAACCAGACATCTCCTGGGAGCAAAGCCCTGGAGCAGGAGCCTGGAGCTCCTCCTCAGAGGCTAAGGAGTGTACAGCCCAGGAGCACACTCTTGCCTACCTGCAGCTCTGACAAGGGCAGAGTTGGTGCCAGGCTTTCATTAGTTTCAGAGCTTGCTCAGCAACTAGGGAACGGATAAGGCACACTATGGGCAACACAGCTGAGTTGTGATATGTTGAGGAAGAAGAAACCAGTCTGCTTCAGCCAGCCAGGCCAACAGTTCTCTACCCCCTGCATTCCAAAAGCCCAAAGACAGTTTATCACAGGAGCCAAGACTGCTGCATAAGCTCTCAAAACTAAAGAACAGTCTGGCTTTAAGCTTTAGCCACAACATTCACCAAGAACTCTGGAGAGAAGGACGTAACACTGCCATTTCTGGAGCTACATCCAACCCGGTCTCCAGACACCAAGGAGAGGTAACAAGCAGGCAGGCAAATCACTGCAGACCCAGAGCCGCCTCTGCCGTGCAAAAGCGGGCAGTGCCTCTGGAGTGAGCCTGTTCAGTCGACCAGCATTCCCGCACCTCAGCAG